GTTAGCATGCGGTTCATGCTTATTCCCACCGCCTCTCTCCGCCGGCAGCCCCGGGACTGCAGAAGCACAAAGGGCATCACCTCTTTGCCCCTCCCTAGCAGCAGAGCTGGCCACAGGTCGGTACTAAGAACAAAACTGAGCGCCGCTCTAACGTCAGCATTCTGGGCCTGCAGGCGCCGCTGCCTCCCTGGGGGAAAGTGATTCTGGAGAGATCAAGAACCTGCAGCGGATGCGAAAGACTGTGGCTGGAGCCGTCTCCGAGGGGGGAGGTTGGGTTTTCAGCCATTAAAATTTCAACAAATTTCTTTGGAGGATTGTAGCGAAGTGAGACTCACTCGCGCAGCGCCTCTTGCTGGTCATCTCGGGAATTAGCTCTCCAGCATACAGAGCGCCTCCTACTGGCCGGTGTCTCGCCTGCCGCTGACCCCCATGTCCCTCCCAGACCCCGGTGCCCCAGCAGTTCCCCACCAAACTGGGTCTCCCCTCCCAGGGGAACCCCCAACCCTCTCACCCACCTTGCCTCAGTGGCTACTGCCAGTTGTCATCTAGGCCCCGCTCACTGGGGCAAACGACAGACTGTCATGGCCACTCATCACTGGCCAGGAGGATGGACCAGCGTCCTTTGCCTATCTCTGGGCAGCACCTCCCAGCCCCAGTACCTGCCTAGGCCTTTACCAAGGCCTCAGCCTGGGGAGTTGCCAGGCTGGAGCTCCCCAGCCCTGCTCCACTCCAGGTACCCTTTTCTCACCGGCAACTAGGTCCTTCTCTCTCCACAGCTAGAGAGAGACTAGCCCAGCGCCTCCCTGAGCCCTTATAACAGCTGTGGCCCAATTGGGGCGTGGCCCAGCTGTGGCTGCTTCCCCAATCAGCTTAGCCTTTTTTCTAGGAGCGGGGGTAACTGCTCCGCTTCAAGGATTTTATTGTCAGTGCATAAATTTTTTTTCCTACAGCTGGCACACACAGTCAGCTCACGCTGCACAAATAACATAAGTTGTTCTCTGAGGTTTCCAAAGCAATTTACAAACGCTGTTCTCCCTCCATGCTGTATGTTGGTATCATGATCCCCATTTTACAGCTCGGGGGGAAAACTGAGCCACAGGGAGGCAAAGGGACTCACCCAAGGTCGCATAGAGAGTTGGTGGCAGAGCTAAGACTGGAACCCAGGAGTCCAGATGCTTAGTCACCGCACTCTGACTGCTAGACCATGTCGCCCCCCAAGTTAATGCAACATGAGAACCTTTTAAAAACAGTCTGTGTCATTTATCAGACTGTCCCTACCCCGTCTCACAGGTCAGAGGGGTAAGTACGTCAGGAATGTGTCTGCCCACGGTTGGGACATTTTCTGGGGGTCTATTCTCTGATGGTGAAATTCACCCCTGTGCAGAGGGCCGGCCCGAGGGCTATGTATAACTAGAGCCGTGTGCAGGGTGGAAGTGCTGTTTAACGAGATTTCAAAATATGGCTTCATTCTGAATCGAAACGACAAATCGCAATTGCTTGGGGGCACTCGGAACATCCCAACGAAGAACTGAAAGGCTGTGTTCCAAAAGCTGTCAGAATGGGACGTTACAACAGTATTGGGATTCCCCCCCCACTCCGGTTTTCTTCCGAAATGAAATTCCAGCAAAAAATTGACCTGACTTTGCACGGCGTGTTGATTTCAGTAGAACTGCACATTCCTATGGAAAATGGTTTTGTGGACATTTCTCCAATCAGCTCTATGTGCAAGCCACAACTACGGAATGTGCCACTCTATCCCCATCTGGGGGGACTGGCCGCATAGCAAGGTTGGTGAGTTTACAACAGAGCTGGGCAACTCATGCTTTGAGATCCAGGGTTCAAGCCCCACTGCAGACAGAGCCAGTATTACAAGTGGGGGCTTGTTTGGGGAATTGAGCAGGGGGGATTTAAGATCAAACTGGAGTGCAGGCCTCATGTTGGACCTCGGTGTGGGGTGAATTTCACTCTGCAGAAGCAGGCAGGGGAGAATTGATCCTCAGTGTGGAGCTGACTGAAGCAGGATTAACCCGCCCAGAACAGAATCCCCGTGGAGCCTGCTCCTGCTCTGGGACTGAGAGGCAGGTCTAACATTTCTATCCTAGCAGCAGCGGGGTGATAATACATAGGGACAGCATTCACATGGGCCAAATGTGCAGAGGATGTAAATCTGTAGCTCCATTGCAGACCAGGGAGCTAGGCTGATTTGGACCAGCCCCTTGGGATCCAGTTCGCTTTATTTTTGAAACCCTCCATGGAATTTGCAATCGACAGATTCACTGTCTCTGCTTCCCTCTAGTCCTCCAGCATCAGCCTCCTTTCGGAGCCCTTGCACCATCTGGCTGGCGGTGGTGAGAGAACCTTCTCCTATGCAGCTCCGGTCACCGGGAGCAGCCTTTCTGTATTTCCCTCGGTCTCCTCACCTAGCCAGTCTCACCTGCGATCCTCCCTCTTTTTCCTGTGCTTGTCTCTCTATCTGTCCAGCCTTGGGTTTTATATGGTCGCCGATCATGGTTGTCTTTGGGCTCCTCTCACATAAAGTCAATGGCAAAGTCCCTCCTGGGTGTCTCCCCTCACTTAGATGCTTCCCCGCTGCTCTGCTGTTAAGAACTCCGTGACTCTCGTTTACGGGCGCGGGTCTCGATTTGGATGAGACACGTTATGCCAACCGCTATTGCACGGTGGCGTTTTCTCCCGTTTCTGTGGAGCCAAGTGGGATTTCGCGTGGACGTGGTAAAAGTTCGGCCAGCTGGAGAGATGGGTTTCTGCTGCGTGCAGGGTAAAAGTCCGTCGGTGTCTCCGGAGCGGCTACAGACCACCTGTGACTGTGAGGGTTTTGGGAGAAATTCTCTCTGATGAAGCTGACCTTACACCGGCGGGCATCACGCTGACATAAATGGTCGTCAGCCCTGGATCTTGGGGCTGGGGAAGAAAACAGGGCAAGAGCAGACAGTGAGTGCGCAAACCAAGCAATGCACGTGGCTTGAGGCGCCAACAAACCCCCCTGCCGCCCCCGGGCTTCGGCTGCCACTTTCAGCATTAAAGAGAGCAGGAAGCAAAGCACCCGCTGGCCCATCCGCCAGGGGAGCTGAGTTCAAGGATTGCCTGTCCTGTTCCCAGCCCTGCAGGAAGAAGGAGACGTGTAATACGCTGGCAGAGTGTGTGTGCATGTGAGTGTGGTGGGCCACTGGAAGATAACAGCCTACTACTGCTGCCATCTAATTCAAACTGGAGCAGGGGCAGAGAAGGGCTGCCAGGGTGAGCCGGGGAATGGAGAGCTGATCGTTCCAGAGAGGCTTGTTTAGCCTAGCCAAAGGCAGGCTGAGAGGGGAATCTCATTGCTCTCTGTGCATACAGCGGGGGAAACACCAGGGAGGGAGAAGAGCCATTGAACTAAAGGACAATATTGGCGCCAGAACAAACGGGGATAAACCGGCCAGGAGTAAATTGAGGCTGGAGATAAGAAGATTTCTAACCATCAGAGGAGGGAGCTTCTGGGGCAGGTTCTCAGTAGCAGCAGTGTGGGGAGGGGAAGGGGTAAACAACCCAGTTGGTTTGAGGATGGAATTTGATCAAGTTTATGAATGAGATTCTGCGAGGGGGGTGGCTGAGAGAGCAGGGACAGGCCTCCGGGACCCAGGAGGTCCCTGCTGGTCCTACGTTACGTAGGACCCTGGAGCTCAGGGTCAGAGATTTGTGCTGTGGGGCTGAACGTTCGGGGATGAAAACCCGCTGGCACCTCATGGTGCGGGGCTGTTGTGCAAACAGCCAGCTCGACTGCTGAAAACGCTTTGCCCGCGTTCCCAGGCCGGACGCGTCTAGAGCCAGCGAATGAGTCGGGCAAACCTCCCCAGACACGCTCATCTGCACCTCCAGCGCCGGCCCCTCAGCAGATGTAAATCAGGAATAACTCCACTGAACCCAGTGGAGGATCGGGCCCAACCTCTTTTCTGCTCAGCATGGGTTGGCCCAATTTGTTTGCTGTGACCTATCATGTGCTCCTACAGCGAAGGGCTGGATGCAATAGGGGTGAGGAGCGGATGGCTGATGACAGCCGTTTCCTCCACGGGGAGGCATTAACTGCAGGGCGAGCAATGAACTGCACACGAACTCCCTCTCACCTGAGCCGGGTCTGGAGGTAGCCCGGTGGCGGAGGCGTAGATTGTGGTGCACTCAGAGCACTTCACCACGGGAGGGGGGCGAGAGCCTTTCTGCTGCTGTGCAAAGAGAGAAAAGTGTGAGCCCAACATCTTTAGCGGAAGGAACCCACCACTTCCTGCCCAGATAGAGAGGCGAGCCGCATGTGCTAACTGCAGCCATCAGCCTCCTGGAGACCACGCTCCACGCTCAAAAGTGGGCCAGGAAACCACCTTTGACTGTGAGGGTCTTGGGAGAAATTCTCTCTGATGAAGCTGACATTACCCTGGCTGCTTCCGAATTACAGGCTACATTCCCCCAGGCCAACATATAGGCCAGCATGCCGCTCTACACCACCACCAGCCAGCAGAACTGGCCCCAGTCTCTCCCAGCGGGACATGCAGAGAGCTCCTGGCTATGGATGGGTTAGCAGGGCTGTGAGCCTCGGGTCCAGAACTGGCCAGATGTGCAGAGGGGCTGCCTGCTCAAAGAGAGTCTCCCTGCTGCTCCAGCCCCAGTCTCTCCCAGCGGGACATGCAGAGAGCTGCCAGCTACGGCCCAGTGCCTGGCCAGAGACCAGACTCATCTCGCTGGAGTGTGACTGCCGCTGGGTGCCAAGCCAGCCGCCCAGAGGCGAAATCCCCAGGCACTGCACAGCCGCTCCACACAGTCCCTGACAGCCGGCTTTAGCCACCTCAGCTTCTGCAACAAAAAAACCCTGATTCTGATCTCATAGTGCGTCCTTTGGTCCACGCTATGTATGGATTCAGTGATGAGCCTCTATCGACCCCCAGTGGCCAAAAGTGTCTGACTCTCAGGGCTGCCTGCCTGCTCCTTGAGACTCGCCCAGTGAGCAGAGCCACGTTTGGGGTAAACTCCCACTGAACTAGGAAATGACCTCAGCGTTGGACAGGAACCGCTTCCAGTACGAAACTGTGACGTGGCTAGTTGCTCTCCATTCAGAGCTGTCTCTGAAGTTATCAGTATTTATGCTGCAGCAGGTGAGATTCTCCTTACGGGGGGTCTTGGAAGCGTTTTCGTTGACCACCCCTCATGCATGGCAGCCAGGTTATGACGGGGAGAAGTTTGCCACAGTGCATCAGCCGACTCCTTCAAATGCCTCAGCAGCAGAACTGTGTGTGACGTGCCTCTCGCTCAGCGATGGCACTGGTGCGGCAGGCAACAGGGCTGCACAGGGGTCGCTGAGGGCAGAATTTGGCCTGCAGAAACTCGGGTGATTTGCAAGAAGGGAAGAGCTCAGCATGGCTTGCCCAGGGGGGAATGTAGCTGGGCTGGCTGCTAGGAACCAGCGCAAAACGTCCTCTTAGTGACTAGATCAGGGAGTCACTGAGAGGTGAGAAACGTGGGGCTAGTTCTCAAGGCCCTCAGAGCTGCACGAACGTCCCCGTGCCCCATAGGGAATGTCTACACCCCACGCTCAGGTGTGAGCCCCAGCCCCCTTTCCATCCACACACAGATCAGTCTGACTCGGGTCAGCGAGCGCTCGGGACCCTGCTCAGGAGATGGTCAGAGCCCAAGCCCAGCTGGGACTCAGGTCCAAGCCCTGTGATTTTGCAGCACGGACGCAGCTCAAGCTGCAGCTCCGAGTCAGAAGGTCTGTGTAGTGCAGTGTGGATGGGTTAGCAGGGCTGTGAGCCTCGGGTCCAGCAACTGGTAGCCCAGGTTTACGATACATCCTGGATGCTCAGGTGCGGGCTTGGAAACACAGAGTCCACAAGCCCGGGTCCCACAGAGCTGCAGTGCAGACATAGCCATAGACACTCCTCTAAAATTGCCCCTGTGAAAACTCAGCTGGGGCCAGGCCATTTGGCGGCAGCTGCGCGAAGCGGAGTGGAATCCACCCCCCCCCCCATAGCTGCGTCTTTCCCTGCTCAGCAGACAGGGCGTAACCTTCTTCAGGGCAGTAAAATGAGAAGACTCAAGTGACGCAGGTACAGGGACAGGAAGGAGCTCAGCTAGGTTAGGGTTGTCAATTTTGGTTGGATGGATTCCTGGAGATTTCATCGCTTGACATAATCTTTAATTAAAGATTAATCTTTAATTCCTGGAGACTTCAGGCCAATCCTGGAGAGTTGGCAGCCCTAAGCCAGGTGAACATCGTGAGTTTTCTGAATAGAGCTGAACGCTAATGCAGTTTAAAATCAGTCCCAGAAGGGTGTCAATTCCCCTTTGTGCGGAAACGCCTATACACGACTCAAACCCAAGCGAAGCAGGACGTAAGTGATACATGAGCCTTGTGGCCCTCTTCCCAGGGTAAAATTTACCCATGTTGTAGATGGGACTTTAACCTTCTAATGATTTAGTTGGTGTTGGTCCTGCTTTGAGCAGGGGGTTGGACTAGATGATCTCCTGAGGTCTCTTTCAACCCTGATATTCTATGATTCTATGAATGGAAGGCCATGGCCACCTAGGTGGGCGCTGGGTGGCTGTCGCACACAAAGAGCAAACGCCCAAACTCACCTCCACTCTCTGGACTTGTGAGTAAATTGTGCAACTTTCCTTTTCCTCCTTCAGCTGAGAATGATCTTCTTGGCCTGATTGGAAAAACAATTGCAAGGGTTGTTAGGGCAGGAGACCCACAGATGTGACCGTGTCAGCCTTGTGATCTAGATTCGTAGAGATACAGGCAAGGACCTGTCAGACGACATCACAATTCTTGCAGTCTAAGCATTCGTCAGCAGAATAAGTTCCTAATAAAATTCTGGCTTCCTCTAAGATGGCAGTTCCCAAGCTGTTGGAAGTTCAGCTGCCTGAAACCGGTCACATCCCCCTTCAACTCCACCAGGTGTCGTAAAAGGCTGACGGACCGGGCAGGTCAAAAATTTTCCATCCATATGGTTTTTTGACAGAAAAATTAAGGTTCTCGGCTAAACAAAAAATTTTCATGAAAAGTGTCTGCTTTGGGCAGAAAATTTCAATAGTTTGTCAAAATATTTAAGCCAAAAGTTGAAATAGGTCCATTTAAAATGGCCTCATGGAAGTTGTAGTTCCACATGATTTATGCTCCCATTCGTCTTTATGGGCTGAACTCTCTGGTTGGACTGCATTTCCCATGATGCACCTTGCCCAGGGATTCCTATGCTATATTTGCTCCCCTTATAAAGATGGGAGAGAGCCATGCATCATGGGACATGTAGTTCAACCAGGCGCCTGGCCTGTAGAGGACAATGGGCGCATGAGGTGCCCAAACTACAACTTCTAGGAGGATCAGCCATTGCCTGGCACTTTGTGCAGTCATTTGCACCTATGCAAAGTGGGTGTAAAACACTGTTTTTCTGATTTGCACTCACATCGCACTAACATAAGTGCCTGCACAAGGCGAAGCACAAGGGTGAATTAATTGCACCTTGCCTTTCTATTTATCTAAGATGTACGCGAGATACCTATCATGTTTGTTATATCTAGGCTAGGATCCCTCACTTCCCTTGAAGTCATGAGAGGAGATCATATCACAAGAGCATATGATGAAGTATTTGTCACATGATGTTCGAGTGGTTACATTTTTTTTTAACCTTCCTTCCTGCCTCTTAACTCTGTATGCTGGGTGGAAAAAAATACATCTATTCTCTTTGAAACTAAAATAAACTACTAGGTGGAGTTCCCTTGAGACTGAATGCACGGCTAGTCTGCTCAATTCAGGTGAAATTTACCCATGTGCAGAGACGCAGCACAAAATCTACGCACGCAGGCATTTCCAGGCTGGGTCAGAGCCAGGGGCTAGTTAACCCACTCGCCTGTATCTGACAGTGGCCAAGCACCGGATGCTGAAGGCCAGGTCTGCGCTAGAACCTTTTGCTGGAGTAGTCATGTGGTTAGGGGTGTGATTTTTACTGATGTTTTAATACCGGCAAAAGCCCTAGCATAGGCACAATTACACCAGAAAAAAAGTGCTTTTGTGGGTATGGCTTGTTTCGTTTGGGGAACCAGAATATGCCACACCAGCAAAAGCAATTTTTTTTGCCGCATAAACTGCATTTACACTAGGTAGATTTGCCAGGATATCTATATACCCGCAAAGCTTTTCCAGTGTAGGCCTGGCCTCAATCTCTCCCTGCCTCAGGTCCCCATGTGTAAAAAACCAGCACTTCCCTACATCACAGGGGAGCTGCGAGCATGACTGTATTAAACATTGTGAGGGGCCCAGTTGCTGCAGTGATGGGGGCCAGGTAAGTACCTTAGAGAGACAAAACTCTGGATGTTCTCATTATCTGGTGTATATGTCCAACCCCTCTTTGCATGCTGCTAAATGTTTGGCCTCAATGACATCTTGTGGCAATGAGTTCCACAGGCTAATGAAGGAGGACTTACGTGGTGCAAGGACTGTGTGCTGGCCCTTCGCACAGGGATAAATTTCACCCTAAAGTCGTATCTAAACACAAGTGTCGTACAGCTTTAACTATATTGGCGTATAGTGCTACAATCCCCCCACTAGAGTGGACGGAGTTATGCCAGTAGGTAAGGTGTTTATTCTTGTATGAGAAGGGGAATAAACTATACTAAGCTACCTTTATGCTAGTATCACTAGGGTTGTACTGGTATAAATGATTACAGCTCTAACTGGAAGCGTTATACCAGTACAAAAACTGTGCATTGACCAGGACAAATGCTTGGTCAACATTCAAGAGTTAGGTTGATGCGCAGCAGCTTATGTCAACCTAACCATGGAAGTGTCCATGCTTAAATTTGGCTCCCGCCAATTTAGCTGTCCTGCTGCGCCGACATAACGCCACCTCCCAGAGCGGCGTAGAGTCACGGACAATGTCATTCAGTCGACGCGGTGTTGTGAAGACACTCCATGGCTTACATCGACTGTTACTGGTTTTCATGCGCCATCCCACAATGCCCCACGCTGACAGTACAATCGATACAAGCGTTGCTGGTTGAGGACGCGCACCGCCGACACAAGGAGCACGGTGTAGCCACGCACGAGCGCTGTAATTACTGCGGCGGCTGTATGCCGACAGACGTTAGGTTTACAGCGTGGACTTGGCCTAAGACCATAACAAGTTCCCAATGCCTTGAAAACCTACCTCTGTGTCTCAGCCAGTAAGTGACCCCTGCACCGAAGACCAGGACCCCCACAATGGCCATTGGCACGATGGATTCCACGAGTTCATTCCTGAGCGAGCCTGGAAAGTGATTTACAAAGAAAAGAAGATGCTCAATAATTGGTCCCTGACCTTGGTGCCCTGTTCTAAGGGGAGGTGAGCGTTAAGCAGGAGCGAGGGCCCATGCAGCTTTAAGGTCACATTGCCGCTTCCTTTATCTCTTTAATCGCGGTTGATTATCTTTGTGTAGAACAGACAGAAAACACAGGAAGTGCAGAATCAGCAGAAGGTACGGAAGGCCCCAATCCAGGCTTCACTTGAAGTGTGTAAATAGCCCCGTTGGGACTCTCTCTGGCAGAGTAAAGGGGACATAAAAGCGGGAGTCAATTACAACCCCTTTCCGCCTGTATAGACTTCAGTGTATCTGAGCGTCAGATCCATTGTCTACACTAGGGCTCCTCATGTGCTTAACGTTAAGCACGCTCGTGTTTTGCTAGACCAGGGTAAAATTTTCAAAGGCGCCTAAGTGATTTAGGAGCCTAGGCGCCATTTTCAAAAGGGCCTTACTGCCCAGATTATCAAAGGTATTCAGACTCCTAACTCCCATTGGTTTCAAAGGACATTAGGAACCTAAATACCGTTGAGGGTCTGGGCTTTAAGAACCTAAATCTAATTGAAATTCAAAAGTCACTCGGGGCTGGATTTTTAAAGGTACTTATGCACCCAATGCCCATTAAAACCAATGAGAGTTGGGCACCTAAATACCTTTAAAAATCCAACCCTAAGTCTCTTGCTGTCCGTCAGCCTCACTGATGAGCCAGCAGCGTTAGGGTTAATTAGTGACCTGAGTAGCGATGGTGGAGCAGGGCCAGAGCTACGTAAATGGAGCTGGGAACTGCTGGAGGGGGGAACAAGGCGAGTTCTCCTCTGGGAGGAGCTGCTGGGGACAAGGTTGAGGTACCCCCAAGGTGTAGCGTAGGGGAGGGAGCAGGGGGGAATTGTGCTGGGGAAGAAGCCGTTCAGGAGAACCTTGGCCAAGGCCAGAAAGCCGATTCCAGTCGAGCCCCAGAGGGACAGAACAGAGAGGTGGACGTTGTTTGTTCGTGCACTTTAAGTTGGCTCTTTAGTAACCCCGGGAGGGGCGTGAACTGTCACATGACTTGGCATGAGGGCCGGGCCCTTGACGACCCCGAGGGGAAGTCGAAAGAAGACACCGTCTGGAACTGGCCATCGTGGGGCCAAGGCAGTGGAAGGAGGACGGGAGAGGCGAAGTCCCCTGTAACGCCGTGTCTAGGCACAAGGGGGCACCCTGGAGGTGAGAGCACCCGTGTACAAGTGCTCTTAAAATGTGGTCCTATGTGCCGAATTCTTACGCTTCCCAATCTGGTGCCAAATGCCTGGAGCTGCTCCACACATCGCTGCTTCGCTCTGGTTTTACAGCTGGTTTGCCAAGCTCCCGCTGGTGTTACACTGCGGCGGGGCGACGCCACGGAGGATGGACTACACCGAACGCTGATCTCTCGTTATTAATAGCTATCGTTGGTATTGGGGGGTGTCTAGGAGCCCCCGTCATGGACCAGGCCCCCATGGTGCTAGGCGCTGTACAAACACAGAGCAAAGGGACTGCCCCGCCCCCAAAGAGCTTCCAATCTACGTCGACCACAAGAGACAACAGGTCAAAGATGGGCGCACAAGGAAGCAAGGAGACAATGGAGGTCCTAATGTCAAACAACCGTGGATTGGATTCCCACTCACTCCAGGTCCCTTTATCTGGAGGCATAAAGAGGCCTGGAGGTGAATGAGAATCAGGCATAGACTCCTTATTGTCTTTTTTTATGTCTAAACTGGTTCTGCTCCTTAGGAGTTGGCTCCCAGCCCTGATGCTCTAGTTACCTTTGCAGTAGGACTGTCATACGGTCTATGTTTGTAAAGGGCCTGGTCCAGCTAATCACAAGGGGATGGTTTTTTCTCCCCCAACACAAGACAGCAAGGGGCAGGGTAGAAATCTGGGTCTTGCGCCCTCCGACTATGTTAATTCAAATGAATGGAGACTTATAAGAAAAATGTCCCAGGCTGAGGTTTAAATGTCTCATTAAAACACCCCATAAAAGTCCCCTGCGTCATAAAGGAGGTGTCAGAAAAACCCCAATGAGAGAGAGAGAGCTCTATCCCCCAGAGGCTATTCGAGAGGAAGTTCCCACGGAGGGTTTTAATGTTGCAGTAGGTGTGATTTATAACCAACCCTGGGCTTTACTGTACTGTAACCGGGGCTGCTGCATGATTAGCTCTGAAAACCAAGTGACCATGAAACCAAAGGTGGGATTTTTATTTACATTAAAGCTCCCGCAGGGCAAAGAGGTCTTTAAAGTGGATGCAAATTACCGTCACAGCCCCCGTTAAGGCTGCTTTATGCAGCCGGAGTGGTGTAAAAGACCCTGGTGTCAATCAGCCCTCTATGTCCTCAGCCCCACGAGGAACCTGACCGGTGCCCGGGTCTGTCTAGACGTAAATAGTGAGTAGATAAGGTGCCAGCAGATGGAGCTCAGGAATAGGAGGTGTAGTTGGGGGTCTGGAGGACCCCTACAAACGGCTCCTTACCCAAAGCTCTGAATGCCCGGAGCCCGCATCTGGCTGCTGAAATGGGCCCTTTGAGCTAGTCCTGCTTTACATGGGCATATGTGAGAGGAGAATCAGGCCTGTTGATTGCAATGGAGCTACGCTGATATGCACCAGCTGAGGATCTGGCCCGCTTAGGTACCAACGCTTCCTTCAGAGCCAAGCTCAATGCCCATGTCTTGGGTGGTGGCCGTGAGTTTAAGCCAGGTTGGCAGGGCCTGGGGCTCAGTTCTGAGCTCAGAGACTTGGGCCCATCCCTGTCTCTGAGGGTGGAGATGGATCCAGAGCCTGCACGGAAGACCCAATGCAAGGTAAAGATGTTGGGCCAAGGCCTGGCGCAGCTGATTTACGCCAGCTGGGGATCTGGCCCCTAGACCCAACGTAGCCAACAGCCAAGCGGCCCTTGGCCCCGGTGGGCCCAGGCACTGCACAGTCAGAGCAGATTTGCCCCTTTCTCCTCCAGCATCACTTACCGCCTGGCTTGTTGCTGCACTCCACCGAGGAGCTGAACCTGGTGGCTTGCTGGCTGACTCTGTTCCTGGCGGTGCACGTGCAAGAGAAGCTGCCCTCCCCCGGGGTGAAGGAGAGGTGCAGGAAGCTGTCATTGTAGGGTTGCAGCTGGGAGGTGTTGCCCTCGCTGCAGGTCCAGCTGTAGGTCACGTTATCCCCGCTCTTCACCATGCAGTTCAGGTTCATAGTGCAGCTCTCGTTCCCCAAGGTCTTGCTGACCATCTGGATGTCGGGGACGGACACCCGCTCTGTAGGGAGTGATGGGGAGGGGAGATGAACGGATTATCTGGGGAAGGATGGAACTGACAGCCCTGAGTGAAATGCTGCCGGCCGGATCCGGCTCCCAGTCCTGCTCTGGGTCATCCCCTCTCCAGGGCATTTAAACACCAGCAACATCGGCGCCATTCGACTGAGCAGGAAGTTCTCGCCGCTAAGGCCTTCCCTGGCTGCCGAGTTCGGAGCAGCTCCATGAGTAGTGTTCTATGCAAATTATGCCGTGGGGTCATCTGCATATCTGTGAATAATTTGCATATGCCCATGAATGTCAGATTATGTGCCCCAAGCAAGGCTTGCACAAAACGTGGGTGCTCTCACTAGGGCGGCTGGGTGCTGGGGTGTCTGTAGCAGGTGGGGAGGAGGGTGGCTGGGTGTGCTGGGTAGGTGCCAAAGGGCGTATGGGCCATTGGGTGTTGGAGGGTGTCTGAACGGCGCTGAAGCTGCTGCAGTGGGTGAGTGCCAGGGTCTCTACAGCACCCCCTGCAGGGAGAGGCTGGGACTGGAATAGGCAGCAGCTCCTCCCACAGCCAGCGCGCTTGCCCCATGCCAATGGCCTTTTCTCCTAGCCACTGACCAGCCACAGAGCTACACCAGCTATTGGGACCCAGGATTAGGCTGACCAGACAGCAAGTGGGAAAAATCAGGACAGGGGGTGGGGGGTAATAGGTGCCTATATAAGGAAAAAACCCAAATATTGGGACTGTCCCTATAAAATCGGGACATCTGCTCACCCTACCCAGGATAGTTCCCCAAACCTGCATACGAATACTGTGCTCATTACCATACACTTCCAACCGGAGACGCAAAAACTCTTCCTCAGAGCCTTTGTTCACCATGTATTCATAGCGCCCTGCATCCGTTCTCTTGGTGTCCAGTATTTCCAAGGAGAAGTTCTCAGGATGAAACTTGATCTGCTCCTTCATGTGATTGGTATGATTGTTTCCAGAATAGCTGATGATAAGTTTCCTGCTGGTTCCAACGGACGTATCTAGTTTCCATAGAGCGTTGCTAAATTGCACAGTAAAATTCTGAAATTCGGGTGTTATGCTCAACAGCGTTGGGCCCCCCAGGCTTCCATAGACTGTTTTTTCTGACTCAGAGCTTGTGCCTACAAGGAGCAACGAAACAGAGTTAGCGCAGACATGAGTTGATGTTTTACAGACAGCAACGTACACAGCGTTGTCCACCCCAGGAGTTCAAAAATCACGCGTCATACCTCAAAAACATCATGAGATGTTTAAAAAGTTATATATTCTGGAGCTCTTTTATTTGCCATCAGCTTGCTGAGCCTTTAGGGTTACAGTCAGGCTTCTTTTTCTCCGCAAACAGGAGCACTAGAAATGTACTTTCATTATTTTTTCCAATGAAAGCGGAGATACTCACCTAATCACGTGACTCCAGGACCTGGGGTTTGAAGAAACCTCCCTCCCCCTCCAGCAAAAAGCAGACTCATGATCAAATTACAAGAGTTGGCAACAAGCCATCAAAAGTTTGGTGTCCAAGCTCCATCAACTAGCAAGCCCTGTTCCATTACGAAGAGTGTGATTATGTCTTGGGCTGCACTGCTGCTCCATAAGAACGGCCAGAGTGGGTCAGAACAAAGGGCCATCCAGCCCAGCATCCTGTCTTCCAATAGTGGCCAGTGCCAGGTGCTTCAGAGGGAATGAACAGACCAGGTGATCATCAAGTGATCCATCCCCTGTCGCCCATTCCCAGCTTCTGGCAAACAGAAGCCAGGGACACCATCCCTGTCTATCCTGGCTAATAGCCATTGATGGACCAATCCTCCAGGAACTTATCTAGTTCTTTTTTGAACCCTGTTATAGTCTTGGCCTTCACAACATCCTCTGGCAAGGAGTTCCACAGGTTGACTATGCACAAGGGGGAGTAAGACAAGTGGGCAGGGAGGAGTGTAGTCTTGGCTCTGCCCCCAGCACACCATCCAGCGCCGCACAGTTAGTGAGGGCCAGAGGCTGATGATGGCGCTGCTGGTGGAAGGGCGAAGCAGGGTTCCGATTGTGCCTCTCTGAATTTTTCCCTTCCCTGCTCTGCTCCCAAGAAGGAACCATTGCCTATATGTGGCAATGAAAGGCTCTGGCTGTGGAAAGGCAGGGAGACACTAGGCTGCTAAAAATCACAGTGTAGACAAGGGAGGCCCAGCTTGGGTATGTAGCGAGAACGTAGGGTACATAGCCTAGGGTTGAGGCATGTCTTTATTCTACTTGCCTAAGCATTGCCTCGCTGGCTGCACAGCTGTTTGTACCCGGGCTAGAAGGCATGCGGTGCATGGACTCCACATGCCGCTGAAAGGAGCGTGCAGTGTAGACGGACCTTTCGATCTGTATTAACGAGAACGCTTGGCAGCCCAAAGCTGGGAACACCCCAATATCCGCCAGGGCCAAGAACACACCAGCCCGTTTGGGCAAGACACCGAAAATGTTTTCAATGGATGTTCCGTCTCTATTTGAGTCGGTTGAAAACAGGAACCCTTGCAACGCATGTCTTTCTAAGAAATCTGCACCTGGTGTCACTCGGCTGTTCTCCCAGGGCAGCCAGACCCCCAGCACATGCCGTCTGGCCAGCGTTCCACTGACGTCAACGGCTCAGAGCCCAGCTATCGTAAGTTGGTGTCGCGCTGTGACACCAGCTGAGGCTCTGGCCCATTGTCTCACTGAAATTAGCGACAATGCTTGTCCGGCCAGGTCAGGGTGGCAGGGGCTGGCCCAGTTGGCCGACGCCCGGGCTGGTTCGCGTACCAAGAACCCCCGCTCCCTTCGCGAGCCGACAGGAAACCCTCGAAAAATCGACACAAGCGAAAAAGTTTTCATTTTCAGCAATGTTTTTCTTCAAGTGCTTTTAGGTTGTCAGAAGAAAAGGCAGCTCTGTGATGATCTCCCTGCTGCTTTCACCAGCCCTCTGCTTAGCTGAGGGGCCAATTGCTAATCACACCAAGGCCTTGTCTACACGCACAGCTTGTACCACTTGAACGATGGGGGGCTAGTTAAAGCGATACAACCCCCCCAGTGTGAATGCAGTTAGACAGGTGGAAAGGTGCTTTATGTTGGGCTAGCTATTCCTACAGAGAAGGGGAATACGTTATACCGGTCCAAGGCACCTGTATAACTTACACCGGGATTGTACTGGTATAACTACCCCGGGTGGCACTGGGCTAACTACACTGGTAGAATTAAAACTCACAGCCCTAAATGAAATAGCTAAACCGGTGTAAAAACTGTGTTTCGCGTCAGACGAAGGCTCCGTTGCAAAGCCAGAGCAGAGCGTGCGAAGAGACCCGGACTCAATAAAGCGTCTTCGCTGATGAGCGGCGCTTGCCCTGGTTTGAAGGCATCCAAAGCGGACGTTCGAAACCCGCCAGGGTTCTGGGGCGGCCTTTAAGCGCAGGATAAAGGGGAAAGTCTTTGCTTGACTCAGAGCAGTTCTGAGACAGACTCCATGCTGGAGGTGACAGTCCCTGGCAACGTGAGGCTTAGTTAGATTAGTGTGCTTTTTTCTGGGAACTGTGGCCTCAGGAAGGTGATGACAAATGAGAATGAGTTCAGAGGGAAAAAATGACTGTTGCAAGGGTTATCTGTAAATAGCTGATAAAAGGTTAATAAATGAGGAGTCAGTTGTTTTAATAAATGACCTGTTGGCCTGGATGATTACACAGCCCAGCCTGCTAGAATACCTTCAACTGGACCATGGAGAACAATGGTTTTCAACCTTTTTTCATTTGCGAACCCCTAAAACATTTCAAATGGGGGTGCGGATCCCATTGGAAAGCTTAGACCCCCAGGGCTCCGCCGACCACAGCTTGAAAACCACTCATCTGTAGCACGTGTCTGTAACATGCTCGCATCGTTGATTTGTTCATTTACCCTAAATGGAACCTTAATATGAGGGGCTGCAGGCATTTACTGCCACAGCAAAGGGGGTAAGGAGACAGGCCACTGTCTAGAAGTATTTGACAGGAGGGGAATTGTTCAGCGTGGATCATTGCCCAGGAGGAAGGAGCTGAAATTGTGAAATTTGGATGGCGTCTCCCAGGGAAATCTCCTTCGAGTGAGGTGTGTTAGATTGTGGGGTCGGGCGGGAGACCCATCGCTTGAATCCCTTAAAACTAGACTGGGCTCAGTTCTCGAGAAGGGAGCGCTGCGAAATGTTTGCAATGAAATCTCACAGCGGATGGAATTCAGCAGTGACCCGCCGACGGAACGGAGCCGTTAGCGAGAGATGGGCAGGGGGGAAAAGATGATCTTGTGTTTGAGGCACGAGGCTGCAGACCAAGAAATCCACATGCAATTCCTGCCTCTGCTGTACACTCCCTGCTTGGCCTTAGGTAAAGCTCTGGCCCTCGGTTTCCCCAGCTAAGATTTTCAAACGTGGCTAGTGATTTTGGGTACCCAACTTTAGAAATAAGTCTGAGATTTCTAACAGGGAGGGCGATTAACCATTGGAACAAAGTGCCGAGGGAAGCAGTGGTTCCTCCGTCTCTTGACATCTCAGATGAAGACTGGAGGCCTTTCTGGAAGAAATGCTTTAGCCAAACACAAGTTATTGGGCTCAATACAGGGGTCAGAGGGTGAAATTGAATGACCTGTGGGACTGGAGGCTCTAATGGTCTCTTCTGGCCTTAAAATCCATGAAACGTGAGACAGCTCAGAGGGACTGCCTTGTCAGAGTGCCAAGCACCTGCCTTCTGAAAGCCAAGTGCCTTTCAAGTGTCTCAAGTAGGGAACCCAAAAGGCCTGTTGGCAAATGTCAGGCCCCCATCTGTGAGCGGAGCATCATAAATCCTCTCCTTCACACCGGGCTACTGTCAGGCTCAACGCTCGTTAGGTGCTCAGACAATGGACTGATCCGCGCTACGGAAAAACACAGTTAATAAAAACAATTTTAAACCTCCTCATTTTGACTTGGGGACGTGTGTGTGTGTGTGTGTGTGTGTGTGTGTGTGCGTGTGTGTGTGTGCGCGTGTGTGTGTGTGTGTGTGTGTGTGCATGCGCGCACAGAGATACATAGATTGGGGTCAATGAAAAATGCCCAGGACTGTCCATTTCTCCTGGAGAGAACTTTGTGAAGGCATCAGCCCTCCTTGGTTGGGGGAAGTCCCGGAGAGCCCCTTTCCTCCCGTTACCTAGGGTACAATGATTCACATTCACCCGTCCCATTGATTACCGAAGCTTTGTTTTTGTAGGAAACATTAGTAGTGAGGGATGCCAGCTCATCATAGACTGAGTTGTTGTTGTCAGTTAAACTGGAAGCAAAAACAACTCATTTTCCCGCCCGCTCTTTCCTATGAATTATTTCCATGAGAGGAGGGGGTTTGCCCCACACAGAAAAACAACACAGGGGGGTTCACCCCCCCGATAGCAGATCCCCATCCGGCCTAGTTTGCAAACACACAGTTGTACAGTTTCAGTAAATACCATAAACCATCACAAAATAGCCCACTCAGCATGTAGCTGTGTGTTCCCAGGATGTGGCGGGAATAGACGACGCGCTTGGTTTTCATTACTGCTAGTACCAGAGTGTAATTGAGAACCAGGCCCGAGAATGGTGTGTTGTGATTGGGATCTTAACAGCGACTGATGGAAAAGCCCTGTTACATCATCTCAAAAATCCCTCGGCCAGGGCAGAGTGCCCAGCCAGCGCGCACATCCAGTACGAAGCAGGCATCTCACCTGAACTCTGACAACAGGCAGCACCGAGTAAGACAGAATCCAGGTGAGAACCCGGCTAGAGTTCCAATGGAAAAGCTCACGCTGGGATCAGAGATGGGCAGTGAGTCTAAAGCAGCTCTCATGCTATGGGGGACTTTTTTGGTATGCCCCCGACACAGAAAACCCCAAGGGGAAGTTACAGCATGTATTCGCCTGGTATGAAGCCAGTTTTGAACCAACCAAACCAATGAGAAATTCCAAACTGAGGCTGTCTCGTGGTCTTCTCCTTTTCTTTAACTCCTCTCATTTTGCCCCATATTGCAGCACATTCAGTAGATGGTGTCTTGCGCATTGTTAATGTTGCCTAGTGGTTCGAACAGGAGCGCGGGGGTCTGGACTCCTGGGCTCTAGATCTGGCTCGGAACTAGTGTCTAGAGTCAGGGGTCCATCTCTGCTGCTGCCTGGGTGTGTAATTATGGGCAATCTGTCAGCCTTCCAGGTCCGCCCCTTCTGTGAAATGGGGATAATCTCACTGGCCGCCCACCCAAGCAGTTTGAGAGGCTCTGTCATTAATGCCTTGAAAGGGTTTAGAGACCCATGAATGGAAGGGGCTAGGGGTGTGCAAAGCATCCTCACCGAGCCCTAAGATGGAGGCACAACAACAAAGTTACAGACAGAGAATCGACCTCTGTCCGGTTCCCGTTGCTTTGTTTGACGTGAGGCACGTCCTTGTTGTCCTGCGTGTACTTTGCTTTTTAAACAGGCTTCAAATAATAGGAAAGATTTTTTTAATCTTCACTTTTGACAGTTGTTACACCTGCCCTGAATGACAGGAAAATCCTAATAGGATTCCAGAAGTCTTGACTCCCGTTCCCCCTCTTCTAACCACTAGCCACACATCCCCCACAAACTGGGAACAGATCCCAGCAGTGCTGACTTCCAATCTAACCACTAGACACACGCTCCCTTTAGCAAGACATGGCACATGCATCCCTGGACAGAGAGTAGCCAGTAAAGCCATCTCCAGAGCCCTGGAAAGAACAGAGTCTTCTCTGCATAGAAATCCGAGATCACAAAGACCTGCAGCATTAGGGTGATTTCATCCGTCCCACCAGGATCACCCTGGCCAGTGCACGCCGGCTCCCTACACGCTGTTCCACGGAGGTTTGCGACACAATCCATTTCTAGACTTTGAGCCATCAAGTTTTAAGTGATGTAAACTTTGGGGCTGACCCCCCCGTTCAACAGCCTGACCGACAGAGCTCACCGTTTGTAAACTTCACCTGACAGCCAGCCTCCATCTTCCCAATTTCACCCCATTCCTCCTAGGTGTTCATTAACTGTTATTATTTATTGTGGGAGCATCTCGGACCCCCAGTCACAGACCAGGACCCCCTGCGGCTAGGCTCCCTGCAAATCACGGTAAGTGACAGATTCTCTAAATAGTTCTGTTGACGTCAACGGGACTACTTGTGAAATAAGGCACTACACACCCCCTGAGTAAGGGGGGCAGAGACAGGTACCGAATGCTTTCTTACGAATGATTCACCCAGCTCTAATATACATTGTAAAATGATTCCTTGCTGCACATATACAGATCGAGCTCTCTATCTCGGTTCTCATCTCCCTTCACAGTCCTGTGAGCCTCCCCATATTAAAACAATATGATCTATACACCCTCTTCAGAAAGCTATTCCTCTTTTTAATGCAGATTTGTATTCTGGCTATAAAGCAAAGCAGCATCTGCCTCATGCATGAGAAAAGCAATTGTCACATATAGCTCTGAACAGCATACACCCGCAAATCAGTTTGCACCAAGCCATTTAACCATAGGAAAACGTACATACCCCCAGCACAGCAAAAAGAAATGATCAGCAAAATGCATTCACTGCAGTCCATCTCTCGACACATGAAACTTTGCTTGCAGTGGACTTAGTATTTAAAGGTCTGCTGACACCACATACAGTAAGACCAGGTGTATTCAAATAAGACGCAAGCTGGGACCACGCATGTTTCCTGTTTTTGGTCTGCTGTGTCTTTCCTTTTTTCTTGGGGTGGAAAGTATTCAAAGTATATAGAGTCACACTGCTTAATGCTTTACTGCATCCGTCTCCAGCAGCTCACAGATAACTAGAATGTGATGTGGATCGATATATAGATAGCTGGATAGTTAATACAAAACAAAACAAAACAAAAAGCCAATGTTAAGTAACAGCTAAGATTGCTTAAATGAAAAATCCACCCAGTTCAGTTCCTGAAAAGCAAAGAAATGACCCGTAGGACTAGGAGACTCCCTTTCCCTTATCACGAATAGTGCTGTCAGCTCACAGACAATAGACTCATAGACTTTAAGGTAAGAAAGGACCATTATGATCATCTAGTCTGACCTCCTGCACAACGCAGGCCACAGAATCTCACCCACCCGTTCCTGTAACAAACCCCTAACCTATGTCTGAGCTATTGAAGTCCTCAAATCGTGGTTTAAAGACCTCAAGGTGCAGAGAATCCTCCAGCAAGTGACCCGTGCCCCACGCTGCAGAGGAAGGCGAAAAACCTCCAGGGCCTCTGCCAATCTGCCTTGGAGGAAAATTCCTTCCCGACCCCAAATCTGGCGATCAGTTAAACCCTGAGCATGTGGGCAAGACTCACCAGCCAGCACCCAGGAAAGAATTCTCTGTAGTAACTCAGCGCTACCCCTATTCCTCTAACTCCCACTGCAACACAAACCATCAACTTCAACCTCACACTTTCACAGACACATCGCATCCCATGAACATAAAGAGTGACCCGTGTAAACTGCACCTGTCAATAGAGCAGCATCCAAACCCCATCAATCAGGCCCCACAAAATCACGAGACTGGCTTATAAATCAGGAGATGTTTGTAAAAACAAAAATAACCACCATTCGGGTCTTTTCCTTTGCCTTTTGTTTCGGCGCTTCTAGTCACTCGGTTCATGTTTTCAAGCTTTTCTCTGCCACCACAAGGCTAGAAACTTACTTTTAAAGAAATGAAAACTCAGATTTTCTTGCAAGCTCTTAAAACCAGGTGCTTTAAGGTAAGCCCCAAATAGAGGTCAGAGTTAAGGGTTTACATTATAGTCTGGTCAGGCCCCACGAGGACATTGTGCCTTCTTGCTAGGTGGGATGCTGCGGCCTTTCCTTCTCCTATTGCCACACAAGCCAGGACTGAGCCCCACAGCTTTGCTTAAGCCCACGCAGGACCAACCTGTGAAAAGCCAGCCCGCAGGAATTCACTTCGTGGCAGCTGTGTAAAGGGCGCACCAGCCCGAGACCATCTGCTGTGTGTATTATATTCTCTGAGCACTACGCTAGTTTTACCTGCCAATAGCCTCACAGTGCCTGTGTGAAGCAGGGCCCTGCTATTAGCTCCATTTTACAGGCCGAGAACGGAGGCCCAGTGGGTAAGTGACTTGCCCAAGGTCACGCAGAGTGTCTGTAGCAAAGCGGGACTTGAAAGCACGTCTTTCACATGCTAGCATAATCTGGGCATATTTGATCTAATCAATTTCCTGCCAGGGCAGGGACCTCAAGCATCAGCAGCTGTCACAGTTCAGGGCAACTGCACCTGTATTCCCCCTCTGTCGTCCAATGGGCAGCGTGATGGTCGATGAAATGTGGTGGTGACGAGTTAAAGGCAATCCGCCTCAGAAGGAGTAATTGGAACCGCTCATGTCCACCTCTACTAAATAGTAAAATTAAGGCCCTATGTCATTTGCGATATTGTGGAAATTGCGAGTCCCCCCAATATTAGGCTTCCGCTGCAATTTTGTCAGCCGGGCAGCTGAGAGCGGGAGCCCCCGGCCACCAGCCCACCCAGACTCCCGCTGTCAACCCCGGGCGATAACGGCTGTAATCTAGTTGCAGCAAAATGTCTGGTTATCAAAAAAATTAGCAGGCCTGAGATAATACTTGAGTGTTTATATCGTCCCAGCAAATATTTCGTAAACCAATAGGTCTTCTCCGGCTTTTCCGAACGCCTGCAATGAATAAAGGGCTGTTGTTACTTTTCCACGTCTTGTCCACAATTCAGCCGCAATTATTTGACAATCATCCCGCAATTCAAGTAGGGCCTTCGTTATAATTATATAGTGCGTAGGCGCCCCACTAATGGACCAGGACCCATCGCACCTGGTACGGTACAAACATAGAACAGGGATGTTGTATTGATTAGATGGACAAAATGGGCCCAAAGTGTCAAAGGTGTTAACATGACCCTGAAACTGTCCAGCATTAAACAAGGTTTGGGGTTTGGTATAGAGAGATCTCAGCTTGCTTACTACCATGGCAAGCACCCCATTAAACCTCCTTTTAACGCTTTATTAAAGATAGGGGCAAGAAAGAAAAAGAGTGGAGGAATCTGAAATTTAAAATATTAAGTACAGTTTTTATTTTAGCAACATTTCTTGTTCCCATTCCCTGTTTCATTTTTAGAAGGAAAACCTGCGCTGACAGTCTCCGATGGTACTAAAGCTGCTGCTAACTGTCCTTTGGGGGAAAAAGAGAAGTTAGTTGAGATGAGCTGGACCTGGCGTTGTTCCTGGTGGTGTTAAAGGCTGATCCCATTTCCTAGAAGGCAAAACAAGACGAACGCACACAAATGTGGGAGGGGGAAGAACAGCAAAGATAGAAAATGCAGCTTCTGCCTTTGGTGTTGAGGCTCACATGCAACCTCACAGCTGGCAAAACACCGACACAGTACATGGGCTGGGAGACATTGGGAACTTTCACTCTCTTTCACACTACCAGGAGAAGGGATGTTCCATTAAACTGAAAGGCAACTCGCTTAAAGCTGATGAAAGGAAATGCTTTTTGATGCAATGCATAGTTCACCTGCGGAACTCCTTGCCACAAGATATTGTGACCAAGAGTTTAACAGGATTAATAAATAGATTAGACATGTATATGGATAAAGAGAATATCCACCGTTACATTAGACTGGATAATCTTTTAGAAAGGATATATACCCTCATGCTTCAGGGCATAAACTCACCTCTAACACTAGAGATTAGGAAAGAATGTTCGCTTGGGGCAAGCTATTCCATAACTGTCCACTAGGGGGTACCTTGCACCTTCCTCTGAAGCAGCTGGGGTACCGGAAGCACCGGGGTAGCAAAGCTTTCTCTTTGTGCGGGAGATGTCAGAGCAAATGGCTAAAGTGCAAACCAAGCTCGTGGAAAGGATGGAGTTCCCAGAACTAACTGTAGCCGACCCCATGCTTCAGGGAATCCAGTCATTGCCACGGAAAGCTATTTATAAAAAGACATTCCCCAGCCACGGATCTGACTGAGAAGGAAACAACAACAAACTCGTATGTGACGCAACGGGCAGGCTGCATTCGTCAGGCGCGGCTGCTTACCCCTGCTGGCCCAGCTGTGCCTCAGAGGAGAATTTTAGCGGTGGAGGTAGCAGGGAGGGGAACTGCAGCTGAAGAAAAAACAACGAGGAGTCCTTGTGGCACTGTAGAGACTAACAAATGTATTTGGGCATAAGCTTTTGTGGGCTAGAACCCACTTCATCAGATGCACGGCGTGGAAAATATAGTAGCAGGTACATATACATAGTACATGAACAGATGGGAGTTGCCTTACCAAGCAGGGGGTCAGTCTAAAGAAACTCAGAAAGTCAGCGGAAGAAACTCTGTGACTCTCGATCCTGGAAACCCCCGTGCCAGGAGTAAGGTGGCACCGCTCCACTGAAGTCGGTGGAGCCACACGGGTTTATATCAGCGGCCGGGCTGACCCTCAGTAAACCCTGTATTGTAAACGGTGGCACTTTTCTTCTACAGAGGGGTCACGCGAGAGTCGGGTGGTGGGGGTATAATCAGGGGCGGCTCTATGTTTTTTGCCGCCCCAAGCACGGCAGGCAGGCGGCATTCAGCGGCATGCCTGCGGGTGGTCCGCCGGTGCCGCGCCATCGGCATCCCCGCCGCCGAATTGCCGCTGAAGCCGCGGGACCGGCGGACCTCCCGCAGGCATGCCGCCCAAAGCCGCCTGCCTGCTGCCCTCACAGCGACCGGCAGGCTGCCCCCGCGGCTTGCCGCCCCAGGCACGCGCTTGCCTGGAGCCGCCCCTGGGTATAATTATATGTGCTCACTCATCCTTAGATTTATGGGACTGATCCAATTTTGCCAGTCATTCGCTTGCAGGATGTTACTAGACCTTGACATCGTCTCCTGGGCCTGCGAACTAGCGTAGCCTGCTGTGTGCGATGTTGCTGTAGCTCTGTTGGGCCCTGGGAGCTTAAATTCATAACTTCACTAGACACTAAAAAGACACTGGAGTTATGGCTTCTGACAACAATCTGTAGCCCACTAACCCCACTTTGTCCTGTGGCTGCAGAGGGGTTAATGGCCCATTACACCTCGAAGGGTCTCTTGCAACATGTTAACTCCTTACGCTAAACAATCTTGTAGGTAGCGGTGATACTCCGAGCACCTTTCCCAGACCCGAGAAGAGCTGTGTGTGACTTGAGAGCTTGCACCTTGCACCACTGAAGTTGGTCCAATCAAAGATATGACTTCGCCCGCCTTGTGTCCCTAACACGTCGTTGTAAGCACTTGGGGGCATGGACTGGCTTTTTGTACTGTGTTCGTACAGCACCTGACACATTGGGGTCTTGGCGCCGATGTGTTACCGCCGCAGAGATGATTAATCATCGTAACGGCACCGTGACAGCACGAGGGGATGAGGTTTTTATGCCGTTTTGACTCTCTAAAGGAAGACGGGGCAGAGACTCTATGAAGTCCACCATGGACCTTGCCATTGTGATGAATTTGAATCCAGCCAGCGTGGGGCACAATAGCTGTGAAGCGAGCACAGCGCCGGCTTTGGCATGGGTAGTGCCAGCCCAGCACGGATCCTGGGCACGTACACTGCTTCCTGACCTGCTCTGAAGCCCACCCTGCTCTGTCTTCACTGCGATCGTAACCCGCGCTAGCTGG